GAGCCTGCGTGCACGCGAAATCACGCAAAATGCAGATGCATAGTGATATATGTATGCTTGAAGCATGGTCTCAATCCGTTTGGAAACCCCGTTGTGCAACCCCAACTCCTGGGCAACTGGGACAGCTTGCGCAAGGCTTTGCTCAGCACCTCTACGCTCGGCACGTTCGTGGGCCCAGCAGGCGCCTGCTTGAGTTGGTTGGAGTGCATGAGCCACGATTAAAAAAAGAAGCTGCAGCGCTACAGGAGATTTGAGATGCGACAAATTTCCATTGACATTCGCTCATAAAGCTGAAAGTTGAGGAGCTATGGCAAGCATGGAATGTGGCGGGCCTGCGCGGCAGCTCGGCCTGTCCCTTTGGCAGTTTGCCCAGCGTTGCCCGAAGTGCGAACTGCCAGAAAAGGCAGCATTAATTTCAACAACCCTAAGCAGTGCACCTGCACGGAACATCTAACTGAGTGACGTTAGCCTGCTCAGTAGGGAATGAGGGAATGCATCCCAGAGTGTCAACAGAGTTTACTGATGAAGCTACGGATCTAGGACAAGTTAAGTCCAAACCTGTGCAAACTCTGCAAGGCCCAAGCTTCTGAACACCTCGAAAATTCGGTTTGACCATTTCTGCTTAAAAGAAGCCTACACTCCAATGCCTTGGCAAGCATATAGGAAATCTGCTTGGGGAGGGCTGACTCCGGGCAATTCGTACAGCCAATGCAATCCCTACCGCCATTCTCTCATGGAGGGCATGCGCATGAAACTTAAAGATCTGTCAACCCAGCTCCTTTTGATGCTTTAGGAGGCAGCCTGCCTGGTTGCGTGTTCAGCACGGAGAGGTCAAAGGAACCCAGGCCTTCAGCACTGAGAGTTTCTTCATTTCCTCTTGGCTATCTTCCCCCACACATCACCAACCCTAATGCGAGGTGTTAAGCCCGAACATCTGAGACCCCAAGCACCAGAACTCAAACCGGAATCCGTAAAACTCTAGACCCTCAAGTTCATAACGGAAACCTGAATGCTCCCTTACTTACCTCCTTTAGGGCTCCGGCCATCGCTGGTGGTCTCCAAGCGGACCCCTTCCCCAAAAGGCGCCGCCACGACCTTAAGCTTAACATGATGTTCTTTGATGGAAATTGGGTTCTACTACACGAAGCACTTCAAATGGCTGTTTAAAGGGGGCATTCAAATATCTGAGCATGCAAGGTGCTTGTAACTGGATGCGACATTGCAGCCTAAAACTTTTGATGTAAAGGAAAGGTCCCACCCCCTGCAGCTCATCTTTACTTTTTACGTACCTATCCTAATGATATAAGAAGTGGCGCAAATCTCCCTCACACACTGTGGCTTTCCAGGCTTCTGCAAAGCTGTCCTTCGGACAAACTGTGAAGTGAGGGAGACCTTTATGAAAAGACTCTGCAACCCAAGATCCAAAACTTGTGCAAACAACCCTGAGTCGCTACATACATGCTTACAGGGATGCATCTGAACCCAAATGTGGATTCTTTCGGAAATCACGCTGGTTGCCCGGAACCGGGCCATCTCTTCTTGGTATCGAAGCCGCAGCTGCTTCAGAAACTCCTGTTGCGTAGGCCACGGAAACTTGATAGTTGCCAATTCAACTGCAGAAAACGTCACATAGACCTGATAGGAGCCACGAACCCAAATGCGGGGATGTGTCGGTATAGTTACGCCTGCCGACCGCCGACCATGGCAAATCTGATGTAGCAACGGTCTGCCACCGCAACGAATGCTTCCAAATACAGTACATCCCATCTCGCACATTCCAGGACCCGCTGTGATGCTCTCGGATGCACCTCATGTGGGGTTTCCCTTTAGCTTGCAGCTCCATGAACTGCCACAATGCTCCTGGACATACATCATCAAACACCATTTAAGTTTACCCTTGGCTTGTCGCATCCAGAGCCCGCGCGACAAACTCTCGGATCCTTGCGAACACTGAGCACACGAATTCGAGTCAATTCCCTGACCCCCAGACCCCTACGCCTTCAACGACAACGCTTCTGCTGCGCGTTGGGAAATACCAGGTTCGATTTTAACAAGCCAGCAGGTGGACTAGGGGCACTGGAGTTCTTACGTAATGCAAAGACGAAAACACGAAGCCACGAAAACACGAAGCTGCTGGCCAAACCTCTGTCCCTGGCATGTGAGATGAACATTGAATTTGAACTTCAAGTGGCCTGCAGGCCTCACGGTGTCGAGCATTGGGCTTTGAGATTGGGTTTGTGCACCGCAACACATCGAGTGTGAATCACCGTGTTTACAAGTCTGGGCAACATTTTTGGCTTCATGGGTATAGCCTGTATAGCCTGTTTGAAGCAGGACTGGAGTTTGGGCAGGGCAGATGCCCCAACAAGGGCTCCGCCCCCTCAATCCTTAGAAAAGGCCAGAACTCCACGGCATCTTCGGCATTCCCGTGTGGCACTTTCTCAAAATGAGGCATCCTTGTTTGGGGGGTCCCTAAACAGGTAGTTGTAGTATTTTTGGTTGTATATTGGGGTCCCCTGTTGGAAAAACAATCGTGTGATGAGCCGGTGCTCCTGGAACAAAAGCTGTGCCTCCGTATCCTCCATAGCCTGGTGCCATGGCTACCGAAGCGCTGCAGCATTGATAATTCTTGGCAGCAAGTCTCACTGAGTCACCCTGATTTCCATAAGTTGGATTGATCAGCCTCCCGTCACAAGATTTGGCTGGACATAACTTGAAATTTCAAGTTAACATTTTAAATTCAAATATCATGCTCTCTAGAACATATCAGATAATTAAGGAGGACCTCCACATAGACAGGGAAGGAAGTGGCAGGAAATCATGCATCAAGACCATTGCCCCAACTCAAGCTGCCAGCAAGATGATGTTTGCATTTCCAGAACACATCCATGTCTTGTAAACAGAGGAAAGTCATTGGGGCCTCGCGCTGCGATGGCTCCGGCCCGGGGAATGTGGCATCTGGCAACCAGGAGAGCGTCTAGGCAAAACATCATAAGCCCAGGTTTAAAACCAATCGCATAGCAACGGCATCCTTTGCAGGCCCTGATGCTCTCCTACTTGAAATGTCAGCTCCAGCCACAGCTGCAGTACCCCGAGGCTGTTGCACAGCGATTGCTGCAGCACAACAAGCACCTGCGCATGGCTTAGAATGAAAGCTGTTGGCACTGTCCGTTTTTGAGCTTGGGTTCATGTCAAACGTATCGTCGCTCTCTTGCTTGCAATTTCTTGTCTTTGTTTTGCTTGAAATCCGCATCTTTGGCTTTGGTTCGTGTTCAGGCTTCAGCTACTTCCGCTTCAGCCTCATAGCCGCAATCCACAAAGTTGCTGGGCTTTGACCTGTTCAGCTATGAACTTGAACATGCCATGACATGTAGACGTGGCATTATTTGCGTCTCAGGTATATGTACACACATGTGCATCTACACATGTATGTAGATAGGATGTCATAACTTGATACAGTTTTCTCATCCCAAGCAGTGGCAGTACAGTTAGCCACAGGTATGCTGCTATGGAATTTGCCCTCAACGGCCACGTGTACTCATCTGCGCTGTTGCCACCCAATGCAAGTCTCCAGATTAAGTTCACCATCAGGCACCCCCAACGTAAGGAAGAAGTCTTGAATGGGGCCACCATCGTCGCAAGTACCCATCAGCTGTGGCCGTGGGCCCAAGGTCTGAGATACAAGCACTGGCGGTTCGGAGTGGCCATCGTCGTCGGCACCTGCGCTGCGAGAGCTGCCCTTTTGACCATCATGATTCTGGAAGGGAAAATTCAGGCGGGCTAGCTTGTTGTAGTCATTGTAAGCCTGAGTGCAAGCATGCTGCATTGCAGACCGCCTGCTGGCGACACTTCTGGCCACAGCTTGATCTTCGTGACCTGCACAGCTTGAAATGTGGACGTTGGTAAAAAATTGCGCGGCAAGCTTCTCAGGAAGAGAAACTGCTGCGCTCCCAAAACTGTTCTTTACTGCTGAGCTGTCTAATCACCTGAGCGTTGTTTTTTCCTTATAAAGTCTCGTATAACTACTAACATGGGGGCCTACCCGAACTATGCGGAATGGTTGTTTTCCCTGCGGACGACACTACACTTGGATACTCTTGCTATTCGACTGATTACGCGGACTACACGGCACACCTGGCCTACACAACGATATACACAATATGTCTAATGAAACATACAAACTACGCAGACTACGCGGACAAAATGACCTACACGTGACTACGCGAGACTACGCAAGACTATGCCCTCCAGGCCCGGGCTACGCGAGTACTCTTGCAGTTTCACGGCCATCATAGCTCTTTCATGCAGAAAAAAATCACTGCTCACTTGGCGTGCATGCATGCCTTCGCAGCCAACGTCTTCAGCTCGTCGCCAGTATCTCCAGCCCTGGCAGGAATCAAGATTTGCAAGTTGCAAGTGCGCAGCAGTTTGCTGTGCAGGGCGGTGCAAGCCTGAAGCCAACGAAAAGCACAAGGCCGACACCGATGCGGTTGACAACCAAACCATCCACCTGACCATTTGCACCAGCTTTACTTTTAACTGGATTTCAGCCACATCTTGCCTGCGGGAACCGCTCAATTCACGACATGTTGTTGCTGCTCTCATTGCACACAGTTAGAGCCTGAACTGCCGCACGGGTCACTTTCAGCCTGAGCAGCTCTGCCCGGCACGTGCAGCGTTTAGATTCAGCATCATGCCAACATCGCTTGCTGATGCAGCTCAGGACTAATGATGCTCCGTGTCCGGCCGCGCTGAGTTGCCAACCCGATCAATTTCATGACCGTCGCATGCTGGTCTGCTAAGGCGGCAACTGCGCTCGGCTTTATGCAATGTTGGTCAAGCTTGGTTGCAGTACAAAAGCAGGTACAGTAGTCAAACAAACCGTCGTCGCCAGGAGTCTCTTCGGCAAAGCAAATAGCACCACACCTTCTAATTCATGCTTGTGCAATGCAACAGAAGAGCTGTCCAGCCAAAAAGCTGCAAGAGCCGCATGATTTGATCTACTGCATGAAAAAGTCTATCTTCATACTCTCATCTGCCGGTAGGATGATCGCTTGAACGACCCTGTTGCGCACAGTGCTGCGCAGCTTGGGAATCTTAGCACATGTGTCACTTGACGGCTCAAGCCGCACAAAAACATGAGCTTGCATACCTGAGAGCGTTTGCTTTGCAAGGTCAGCCGCCGATTTGCACAATTCAGTTTCTTTCTCTGGAGGCTCAGCGGGCACGAGGATCCACACTGCGCTCTGGCCCAAGGTGCAGCTCCAGCGAAGCACGAACCCACTCTCTCGCACATCTCGCTCTAGCGGCAGCTCGGGGCAAATCAAAGCAATGACTGCTTGCGGAAACTCCTGCAAGAGATTGCGTACGATTTGCAAAGATGTGCCAGGGCCAGAGCCAATGCGCCAACCCCACGGGGGGTTCGCCACCACCACATCCGGTGCTTGGACTATGCCTACAAACGAAGCAGTGGCATCATGCACAACCACACGGACATGCTGTTGAAGGTTTGAAAATGCGAAGTTCTCACGCGCCCTTGTCACAAACGTGGGGTCTATGTCGCTGGCAATCACGGAAGCAAATTTGCCCGATGCAGCGGCAACAGCAGCCAGGGTGCCGCTTCCACAGCAGGCATCCAACAAAGACAGTGCTAAAGCAGTCCGAGTTCCGGCTCTTTTCTCACACTCCAGGAAGGCAATGGAGACGACAGCACTTGCCACATAAGAATCAATCCCAGCGGAGAACTTGAAAGAGCGAGCAGACCACATTTGATGCCACGAAAGTGGCAGTGCCATGGCCGCTGGGCGCAGCAATTCTGGAACCTCGCATCCCAACAGGAAAGAGTTACCATTTGCCTGGAAAGCCACCAAGCGGATGTGCCCTGGTTCTGATTCGCGCTTGAGGCTTGCGCAAAGGCTGGGCGTAGCTAGCGATGCCATGACCTCTAATGCGAGGTCTGCCCCCTGGCAGTGCTTGAGAGGAAGCAGCGAGGCGTCAACTTGAGGCTCGCGCAGCAAGACATCCAACCACCAAGACTTGCCCTCCCCCAGCATAGGCAACTCGGACACTGCAAGCGCCAAGTCTGGTATAGTCGCGAATGCAGCAGGCTTGCACAGCAGGACTGGTGGTCTCCGAAGCGTCGTGAGCTCGCCGGCCATGCTCAAGAGCTGGAGCTCTGGCGAACCTTCGCAGGCCGCAAGAAGCAAAAGCCCCGGCGCGACTTCTTTGTAGTGTGATCGGCGGACTCCAGCACGCAGAGCTGCAACTTCAAACTCCAGCGCCATGAGGGCAGCCTCCTTGCTTCGGGATCCTTGAGATCTGAGGAACAAAGCCCAAAGCTGGGAGGAACCTGCCTCAAACTGTAAGCTCTCGCAAACCTCCGTCAGCTCAACTGCAGACTTTGGCATTTCTGCGGGCATGGGGCGACGCCATGCCCGTCGACCTTCACCCACCAGTGTGGGCCGTGAGATCCCGGACGACACTGCCTCCTGACACTGACGAATGACTAGCTTTCAAAAACAATGGCATCCTGGCAAATCGCCAGGCCCTAGGCTTTTGGAAGGGTTGGTGGAAAAGGAAGCCAAACATGCACTCAGGCGAAGGTAACCCACATTATGTTGTTGAAGGCTGGACAACCTATGGGTTTGTTACACACTAGCAGTTTGATGGAGCCTGAGACACTGAGGCTTCCCTGGAGCTGGAAGTCGCCCTGGAGGCGGCTGGAGACTCCTCACGGCGCACCAGGCCCTTGAGCAAACGCGCTGCGGGGTCCTCCGAAGCTGCGGGCTCGAAGATGAAACCGGGACTTTGCAGCAAGAAAGCCACAAGACGGTTGGCCATGCACTGCTTTCTGATAGCTTTTGCCATCTGGGAAGTGGCCGTCGCGCGGGAAACCTCCACCAAAAGCTCCTTCAGCTCAGGGACGATAGCGAGCGCACGCTGCTCGTACTGCGGGAAGAAGCCTGTGATGAAAAAAAAGCATGGGCAAGGTGGACATCCGTGGAATGTGAGCCCTTGAAGTTTACATCGCACAAGCCAGTCAGACATAAGGACGAGCCAAAGGAATTTCCAACGACTTTAAAATCAGCCGAAGAGGCGGATGTGACGAAGAAGCTCCTTCTCCAAGGCAATGGTCAACCATGCTAAGGGCACTGCCCCGCCTTGAGAGCCATTGGGATGTCGCTCAAAGCGAGAGGCCAGGGCTGCATGCAAGAACTGGGACTGTTCCTGAGCATCCTCTGGCGAGTGGACGTCTGTGACCTCCCCTTCGTCCACTAATGAGGCCTGCTGCGCAAACAGCTGACCATGGGACCCTTCATACCGTATCAGTGGCTCGCGACCACTGCCAGCTTGATCTAAGGTTTCCAAATTCTCCACAGATAGGCCATGCCTCTGCGCAGCAGAGCACAATCGCAGAAGGCTGGAATCAGGCATTTTGCTCTTCCAGTCCCTCCAGACCTGAGCATGTCGTCTACGGACTTCGTCGCCTGCAATGGACACCGGAAGTTCTCCGCCATGCAGTTGGAGCACCTGGGACAAGGCTTGCACCAAACGCCTTTCCTCTTCAGGGTACGGCTTTGGCTTCGCTGCCGACATCAAGCCAAGGACTGCATGGCACCTTTCCAAAGCCCTGCTAGTGTTCTTGTGCCAAAGTCTTTGCAAGCGTTCGCCAGCACATCTGCCTTCAAAAGGCATACTCCCCACCAGCTGAGAACAAGCATCGCTTCTGCCTACATGTCCTCAAGGCATCAGCGCTTTTTTGCCACCATCAAGTCACTCCAGGCTTCAGGTGGCCTTCCAGCCAGCCAGCTCCTCCGAGGAAGAGCAGCAAGTGACAGGTGCTGCAAGAGTGTCCAGAAGCACTTGCTTTCCACAGCGTGGCTTCGCATTTGCTCCCAAAGTGGCTTCAAGCTCAACAGCTCACGGCAGCTCTGGGCACAGCGCCTGAAAACATCGGAGTGCCGTGAGTTCAGCACTTGCATGGCTCCGCGGAGGTCGGAGGGCAAAGGCTCCCGAACCTGTCAAGGTTCAGGCTTTGGATCTGTGGGAAGGAACATCTGCGAGCCCTTGGGTTCGGTAGAGGTTTGCTGCATACTTCAAACGGAGGGATCATCCGAAGTCCACGCGAATTTCTGCGCACGAGCTAGACTACATTCAGGACTGACACCACTCAAAGCCTTCCGGCCCTCGGCCGCTAGTTCCGGCAAGCATTTTACAAGGAATTCATCTCCATTCTGCAGGAGTCATCCGTGTCATCTCTCGATGGCCTGCCACCCTCGCCCTTGCCCTCGGAGCACACCAAGCCCCCCATGACTGGTCAAGATACTTGACACGACTTGAACAGGTATGCAATACAAAGACATGTTGATGTTTTTAACGTACTCTCGAACCTCATTGCCTCTGCGTGGCATCCCCGCAGGTCAAGGAAGGCCAGGCGGTATCGGTGCAAAAAGTTACGAGGGCACCAGGTCATGTCCTGGAAGCTGCGAACAAAATCGCAGGCACCAAAAATCATTCACACTTTCATCCAAGGGTCCACTTAAAAAAGCCATTCTCGGTAATTCACTGCCGCACCACGGATGTTTGGCAGACCCCTTGTTGAAGCTCTGTGAATCTTTAAGTTCAGGTATTGATGCTTACGCCTGCGTTGCAGGTACGCTTCCTGCGTCAATTCGCAGGATCCAGTGAAGGTTATGCAATCCTGTTTTGACGCCATGGTTTGAAGCAGTCAAATCTCATTTGGACTGCTCAATTGGATGTAAGGACTGTGTGTTGAAGCAAGCTCGTCAAGTTGTAAGCTCAGGCTTTTCAAGCTTTGGCCTCTGCAGCTGCCACAAACTGGAATATGTAGTCCAATGCCGTTAGTGAGGTCCTTCCTGATCAAGAATGTTGTGCCTTAGCCCCGTTAGGCATCTGGCCCCTTGTCCAATTTCCCCGCGTCCTCCAAGCAGTTTCGCGCGGAAAAATATCCTTGGGCTTCTGGCTTACAACTCTGATGCAAACCCACTTTTCAAGCTCACACTGTCCATCATGGGAATCAGGGTACGGGTTTCATGAAAACATCTCAAGCTCACAAGCTTTCGAGAATTTAAGCTCAGCGTCTCTTGTCGGAGACCGTGGCGTGACCTATGTGGGACATCTGCAGCCGGATCTGATGCTGCCGCCCAGTCAGGATGTGAATTGCCAGCCTGCGTTGGACATCTCACAACGTGTTGGAGATGGGCGGAGCCAGCAATGATGAATGTGAAGGGAAGGAACCTGACCACATACAAAGGAAGCTGACGCTGCTGACAAGGTGCAGGCTGAACACTTGCTCGGCAAGGTCGGCTACACCCAAAACCTCCGCCGTTTGTGGCAATGCAAAAAAGATTTTCGCAGCTGACAAGGAATCAATCCCTAATTCCTCAAAGGGCCCAGTAATCCAAACCATAATGATGCTACAAGCTGCTACTGCCACATGGGCAGGCCCTTGGTATACTACTATCGCAAACTGAAAAACTCTGACACGTACCGCTTGCTGGAACACTCAGTTCTCCCAGCCCCTGCGTAGCGCGATGTTCGGTGACTTCTTGACGAATCAGCTTGAATTATCCCAAGTATCTGATCCACAGGCTTGAGTAAGTAGAACCGCTTTTTTGAGTGAGCTGACATAGTTACACCACGAGTCACAAACAATTGCACCATTCATTCTCATGTAAGAACCTCAGTGCTAAGACTCCAAGAGCCCACTGGCCTTCAACCTCGAAGAGGCGGGGCGGCCAGCAGGAGCAACGATGCTGCCAGCCTGGCAAGCAAGACAATTCTTGTAGTCACTTCTTTACGCAATCAACATCCTCGCCCCTCCCCCTAATACCAAATATTTCCCTACCATATCATGGTAGAGTACTGGAATGCTTTTGAAACTGGATGTGAAGTGGGAGAATCGGAAAAGCCTCAGCTGTGACAAAAACAAGTCTCTGATTTTCATACAAACTTCAGGTTTTTGACATAGTCTGTGCTCGGGGTGTTGAACAACACTGCAGGTGTGGCAACAACCTATGATGAAAGAATCTTGTCAATCACAGTCCACTCCTCCCCATGGAGTCACTGCAATTCTGCAGCGCGCCTGTCTGCCATTTCCAAACCAGTGGACCTTGTGAGACATAATCCCGAAGGGCAGTTACCAAGTGGGAACTGATGCTACATAGCTGCTTGGGGCAGAAAATTGAACCCTGTGGCCGTCACACAGGACCTTACATGAGTGCATGGGCGTGCGCTTCACAAGCCAAGTCACTCGGCAACGAACAACGCGTCGTGCTGGTGGTACGCTGCCATGGCTGAGGACACCTGAGATTCCTTTTCAGGGGCCAACTGGATAATAGATGACGTGATGTAGAGGGGAATGGAAAAGAACATGGAAACTACTTTATTACTGGGACTGTTATTAGCAGTTGCACGAAGAGCATGTAAACACTACTCGCAGAAATTGCTTCATTCGTTTCATCTGCATCGGCAGAACACATGGAAGCCCACTGCACATCCCTTCCCTGGACACTTTTTGCCATGCGACTGTTTTTAGCGCAAGGACTCCTGCTAGGTGTTAGCCGAGGCAAGCAACAATACTCCCGCTTCATCTGGCCAAGTGCCAGCTGCAGCCGCAAATCCTCGGTCTTAAGCAAAGTTTGAAGGATTTGGGATGCCTTTGGCCACGTAGCGCTGGCAAGGCACATAGAAGGCACGATGCGTCTTTGCCGTCAGAATCAGCCCAGATGTGGGAATGTCCAGGCCTTGCATGCATGATGATGGGATGCGCGGGCATCTAAGGCAGTCACAAGCTCAAAACTCCTTGAGCATCGCCTTTTCCTGCTGGTTTGGGATTCTTTCATGGTGTGCCCCCAAGGAGAAACACCGATGAAGCTTCTTGAACCGCTTCGGCCTTTAAGCAGCTCCAGCTCTGATCGGGTTTGTCATTGCGCAGCATCCGAATGATGTATCGCTGGAACTGGCTGCCACCCAGGGACGATGCAGAAACCCACGTCCGTGGCTTCTGTCCTGCACTAAGGTGTTGATCGCTTGATGGAACTGAACTTAAGCTCAAACAAGTCTTCTTCTGCGCCAGGTTCTGCTTGTATTCCAGCTACTCAATACTCATGCAGGCAGTCCAAGCAACAGCAACTTGTAGTCATGCAAAGACAGGACAAATATCAAAAACAAGTGCTTCGAGTTGCGGTGTCGGATACGGGATGTCTATCCAACACAAAACCTGCTCCACCTACAATCCAAAAAAGTAATCCTGTACGACCTTTCTTGTCCTCCAGGATTGACCAGCAGCGAGTAGGGTTCATTGCCTGGCGGAGCATGTCTAGGGCCGAATGCTTGAACCACCTGAGCGTCTGAAGTATAAAGCTCCTCTGCGGAATCATGATGAGAATGATGAGAAGCCAGATCTTGCTGCGTGAGGGCAAGTCTGCCCTGCTACACACCCTTGTAGATTGGAGGACGGCCTTCAATCCGCCTGGGCAGTAAGAGGAATCTCATGGGCAGCCATAGGCGTGGCCATGAGTTGCCCAAGTACTACATGAAGGTACCTACGGCTCTAACCCGTGAGCGTGCAAGCGTGGCTGTTTGCATGGCTCACCAGGTTCCCTGGCCTTGCCTGTGTGAATTGCGAAAGCCGCAGCGAGTCGTCCTGCTTCCAATCTCCGTTCGTGGCCATCATCACGGTATTGCGGTATTGCAGGAGCATGTTATGCACGCCACTGCGTGGAATGGCTGCGCGAAGCCAATTCTCCACAAGAATGCCCCCCAACCTGCTAAAATTCCAGGAACAGACGAACGGACTTGAGCCTGGGGCTCGTCTTTGCCATCATCCACCTGATCAGCAGTGCAGCAACTTACGAGAATTTGTGAGCTGGTCTGAAAAATTAGCCCGTGTGTACCCCTTTATGGAACGTATTTGGTTCAACAGCCCAAGCCTAAGCTTAGGTGGCAGCTTTGTTGCTACGCATGCAGGCTGGCCTGCCAGAAGGAAGGTGGTTTGTAGACAACACAGCGATCACCCAACTCCTTGCTCGCCAAATTCAGCGTCAATCTTCAAACTTTTGGTTAATTCAACTACACGGAAAAGAACACATGGGTGACCAAAACAATACCTCGTCTGATGGACATTTGAGGTGGAGGCTATACACCTTTCAGCTTGGGCTGCAGCTAGCTAACATCGGGCAACAGGAATACCTTGCTTGTTTCCTGTGTCTGGAGAGAACGCGCAAGAAGCCCAAGATAGAGCGAAGCTCCATCAGCCCATCTCAGCGCCCTGCGAGAACCACGTGAGGAAGCCCAGGGCGAGAGGTATCTGAGGCGGCCACTTTCCACTCTCAAAAGGAGCCTTCTTGAACGTAGCCATCTTCCGCAAGTCATATGGCTCTCTGCTTGCCTCGAAAAGCTTGCTGCGCAGCAGGGAAAGCCGCGCTGGAGAATTGGCCGCCAATGTCGCAAAGAAAAGTCCTGCACCATGTCAATACTCTTGGATTTTCCTGGAGGATGCGTGGGGCAGTCCCAGCATGGCGAACAGATTGCATGGTATGAGTCGGTACAGTATAAGTGCAAGTGCATGTACGTGCATGGGGAGCCTTACCGCGTGTAGAGTGCGGCTCGCAAGCTGGCCCGAGAAGTGGCAGGCCCATGCGATGTCCTTGGTGCAGGGAACCATACAATCAATTAAGCGCACCGAAGAAGCTGAAACTATTCATGCCTGGCTTCGAGCACCCGCGCCGCAACCTCCTGCTATCACTCTATCAACTAAGATGCGCAGCTCTGGTGATTACGGGTGATTCCAAAAACTACCTGGAGTCAGGCACATATACTCATATACGGCACGCAAAGCCATTAAGCTGCATCTGTTAGCGGGACAGCGGCCTGAAGAACAGGAGGTGCGGTTGGCAGCTGCGATTGTGAGCACTGGAGGATGAGTTCATCTTGCCTCGGTTCTCAACAATGTCTCTAGCTTGCTCTCCTCTATACCGATCGGTGGAACCAACAGCATCCAAGGGACAGTGCTTGGAACATGTGGAAAACTTTGAGACTGTCTATGTGCTGGTCAAAGCAAGCACTGGCCTCAGCTACGCAGGCTTGCAAACATTGCTCAGCATTCCAGAGCCGGCAGTCCTAATTTCTGGCCTAGATTGTCAACATGTCCAAATGGGCTCCCTGAATCTCGTGCTTCACAACATTTGATGTTGCCGCTTCCTCGCTGGTCCTCCTGTACACGCTTTGCAGGACAGCCATCCCAAGAAAAGACCATCAACTGCAGGATTCGCAAGGACCGCGCGCTCATTAACATCGCCACGTACTTAGCCCAGCTTTGCAGGCAGTGTGGCAATAGCAGAGATGCTCAGCAGGAGCTGCAGTCTCAAAGGTGGGCTCAGCTACCCGTCATCGGTCGCAGTGCCTCTTCAAGTCATCGTTCTCCATTGTCTGACACAAGCTTTTCGGAACCTGCCATCGACATGCACAGACATACGCCGTGCACTGTGCGCCTTGCAGGCGGCTCTAGCTCAGAGACTGGAAACGCGAGAGGATTCTAGAACGGCCTTTTTGTATTGCATGGCTATCCCTGTGCAGCACATCACGTTTCAGTTTATTTTCCGGCTCTACGACAGCCAGCCTACTACCCTTGTAGTCCACGCAAGTCTGAAACCCAATACACCAGCAACCGGCCTTGGTTCCGAAGGCGAAGTGGTAGTAGCCATAGGCGCCATGCATGCAGCTGCTTGCTAAGCCCGATTTGGCAGCCTGCAAAGGCAACTGAAAGCACCCGCAGGAGGTTTTCCATCAAGACAGCCATATTGCAGTCAAATGCCTTGCAAACCCGCTGCACCAATCGCAAATTGTCCAAGTTCCTCAAGTCAGGCACGGTCATCCATATAATTGTGAAGGATCTAACTCCTGCTCTTGGAGACTTCGGGTCAGAAGAAATAATCAAGAGGCCTCTCAGTTGTACTTGCCTGCCTGCCAGGCTCATGTCTGGCGGAATTGCTACGGGTTTGCTTTACTGGCCAACTGTGTCGATAGCTATGACTATGCAGGACACGTCCCAACAGAAATCAAAGTGGTGGCGCTACGTAGCCAACAACCATCTAGTGTAAAGAAGTCGTGCGAGGTTCTCTTTGAAAGTCTGCATTCCGACGCCGCTTGTGCAGCTAGAAAGGCAGCCGTTGCCACGCCCGCTGCAGCCTGCAGCTTGGCGAACCCTTCATTTTGTGAGCTACCACTGACCTGCTTCATGGGCAGGAATCCTTTGGCCCCAGCCTTTTTCGCACCAGCGAAGTGCCTCAAGGTAGCTGCGTGGGCGATGCAAGAGAAAGGCCGTCGGCGAGTAGAGATAGCCTGAACCGTTTGACTGTGTCTCCCGTTTGAACGCCCCAAGCTTCAGCATCACAAGTGCGTGGCTAACCCAGCTGAGCTGCAATCGCCCTTGCCTCTGCTATTTCCAGCATTAGCATCAGTGCAAATTGATAATGCACCTGGCCGGGACAGGTCAGGACATGCATGCACCAACTTGCTGACTCTCAGCTTTTGAGATTCCAGCCTTGCGCATCATCTGCGTCATGGCCGGAGACGGTGGTGGAGGCAAAATGGTCCATCCAGATACCATTCCAAAGCCTGGTTTTTAAGGATCCTCTTGTATGCACTGTTCTATAGGTTGCTATGTTTCTCTCGCGTTTTATCAAAGGATTCATGACTAATACATGCCATAAGCTGACAATTCCTCTCCTCAGATCAGCGGCGTATTCTGGTTGTTGCGGAGCACTGCTGAGGCTTGCAGAGCGTCCTGGAGACCCTTTCGTGTGCTGACATCGCCTGGGTCACACGCAGGGCGGAAAACCCAAGCCCGAAGGCTGAGACACATTCAAGGCCACTCTGGCCACCAAGAGGACGTGCGACATGCGAACCAGTTGAACATGCTTTCCTTACATGCTGCATGATTTGCTGCGTGACGTAAATTGGTACAAGCGGCGAAAGTATTGCACCACACCGTGCCCGACCCCATGGTAGCACCTTGTGCGTTCAATACAAGTTTATGGAGGAAAAGCCATCACTGCATTTGTCATGACTATGAACATCTACGAATAGAGCAGTTGCAATCGCCCCCTCGGAGCTACAGGAACAAACGCTTTTTGAAAAGCGATGCACTCCCATGGAGGTCGGAACTCTCGCCCCATCCGCTGACAGACCTTGGGCCAAGCTGGCGTCTTGTATGTAAGGAAGGGGCTTGGCATTGAGCACGGGTTGACCTTGAACCCTCTTCAGCACAAGTAAGCAGCATGCTGCCAGGACACATGAGAAGCCACGAAGCGAGTAGCGGCCTCGAAGTTCCCTGCAGCACCTTCGCACACAGTCGATTGGCGACTTTTCCCATGTTTTGCCTACAAGAGGCGCATCGAAGTTTTTTGAAATTTCAGCTTCCTTCCGTCTCCTTACAAAAAGATGATATTGAGGGGCTACACGGGGCTGCTTGGGGCATATGTAATGTAGCAGAACCCTAACTTCACGAAACCGCCCGCCTGCTTTAGAGAGGAAGAGCTCAATTGCGCCATGGAGATATGCAGCGTTGCAGACCATGAGCAGGTCCACATCCCGCCTCGCACAATTGGGAAGCTGTGTACCGTAGGGGCCTACATATTCAGAACAGGGTTTCAGCATGTTGTGCTATATAGTTAGAGTAGGATGATAATGGGATGATATGACTAAGCATGACCTGAAACAGCGTGACGCCCTAGAACACCCTGCATAATCCAAGTCTTCCTTTCATTTTCTATCTTTTTTCTCTTTTTTATTCGCTGTTAGAGGCAATTACACCCTTAACCCCATTACTTCCCCCTGTAATCCCTATGAACCCTTCTCACAGGACCTTCATCAAATCCCTGATGGTACTGCGCCAGGTTAGTGCCCGAGGCACATTTAGCCATCCCATCACCTCCTGGTTTCTTTTGCGCAAATGCGCGTGAATGGTGACGTTTGGTGGTTTGAACAAGGCCCTGCTCCTGCTTGACAACTTGTGTATACCCATAGAGAGGATATGATCTTACTCTAGTTGGGCTGCAGTATCTCCGATTTGGTGCACAAACCCCTCTTGGCAAGCTGACAAATTTTGCCTTGAAGCAGCGGCACCCGCCGTTGCTGAGCCTGGAGCAGATCCTGCGCATGTTGAGTGCCCTATGACACTTGCATTCCTCGTCAGAAGCGCTACAGACACTGCTAACTACAAGCGTTGCAGGGGCCATGACTGGGATGCCAAATTGAAAAGCCAGCCGTTGCGAAGAATTTTGGGAGCTCCTGATCACAAGCACCCCATATTGAAGAACATTGCCCCTCTCTGGTTGGCCAATTACACGCAGGCCCCCACCCCGCCCCTTCTGATACCATCGTTCATACGCTTTGAAGTTGAAAGAGTGGATTCACCTTCCCGTCAAATCTGTTGTTGGGTAATGCCGCGAAGGCCGCCTGACTCATTGCAGATTATGAGCTCTCAGTCATCCTCCAACCCAAGCTTTTCAAAACAGCATGAGGCACTTTAACCGAAGAGATACTCTTGCGGCCCGGGGGCACTTCTTGGGGTAAGCAAAATCGTGGTAGGTTGCCAGGCCCTAAAGGTCCTTTTGTGACAAGATCTGCTGCCACCCTGCGGGCAGTGTCGTCGAAATTGAGGAGTGAGCCAAGGACATTGACAAGGCCGTCCTGTGCTTCTGAGGCCACTACTACGTCATACTACTTCAGCAGTGGCTCTTGGTCCAGTGAATCATCTGGCTCTTTTGTGGAGAGGGCAAACTTAGAGCTCCTAATACTGTCCCCAGACACGTTACTACAGTTGTGTCAGCTTGATTCTACTGCCCAAGCGAGTCCTTGCCCGCCTCAAAGTACCTGTGCCATTGCTGGGGTAGCAATACCCAAAATCATGCTTCCTGATTGTTTCAATACCCTGAAAAGCCAAACATATTTTTCAACAATGGAAGGGGTACAAGGTTCTGCCCAGTCGGTGCATAAGAGGATGGCAAGCATCCAGGAAATGGCGATTGTCCTTTAGCAGCTGCTCGGCCTTCATGAGTGCCTGCCGCGCATCCTGACTCCGCACAATCCCTAAGAGATCTTCAAGGATCGCAGTGCCCTCCTCGGTGTACACGAAACCATAGGAAGCTGGTGCATCGCTGGCATTTGCCAGTGCAGTTGCCGCTGGGCAAGCTGGGCAGTCAGGGCAGGCTGGGCAAGGCTTTCGCTCAGCTATGCAACGTGCGGGCCGCACCAATATCCACATGGTGAACATGCCGCCGAAGTATGCAATGAACATAGCAATGCACATGTAGCAAGCTAATCGCGCGACCCAGCGGGGTTCCAACTCCCTTGCAGATGCTGGATCCGTCAGCAAACCTCTGTCCTCACCAACCACGTCCGCACCAGATATTTTACTTCCCACAACCACAGCATTGAGCTCGCAGTCGTCGCGCCCCACTTTGGTCGGCTCGCTGTTCGAGACATCAGTTGCCATGGTTGCCGTGACTTGTTACAAGCTATTGAAGCTTTTGAGCGGCTCTAGCTAGGATTCTTGCCTTTGGCAGGTAGCCTGTTTGGCAGGTCGCGCTGGCAAGCTTGCACTGCATATGTAAGCTTGTTGTTACTGCGTTCGTCTGCTGAAATGCGCAGTGTGGATGCTGCACTTGGACGTTAAGTAGCGATGCATCGATACCCATGTTTTGGCTTATGTCTTTTTGGGCCTAGCCTGAAGCCTAGTGGCTGCAGAGCTGCATCTGCAGCATCTGGCAAGAAGCAAAGAACAGTCGGTCCAAATGCGGCCAGAACTGTAGCCATGATGCCATGCTATTCCAACATGACCAAAAACATCAAAGTGATGACTGCATAGCAAGTGGCACAAGACATGGTGAGGCTCGCAAGCTCTCGGAAAGGCAGGCCCCGCAAACGGCGGTTGTCCAGCAAATGCTCATATGCAGCAGCGAGAAGACGCGGTTCGGCACAGGTGATGGACGCCTTAGAGCGAGGCTGCTCTCGAGCGCAGCTGCGTTCTTTGACTTGGAGCGTCTCCCTCTTCTCATACACAGCAGATAACACAAAGTGAGCCGAATTGTGCACATGAGCTCCAAGCGTGGCAGAAAGCATGATAACAAAGTGCATGTGTACTTGCTGCTCTTGGCCACGGCTCCAGGTCGACTATCACATTATATGGACAGTGGTCGACAGTGCTCTCTCTGACTGACAGCCTGAAATGCCTGAAGCTTTTCGAAATTGTTGTGCCTGTGCTCCTGTCAAAGTTTGAGGACAAGGCACCAAAGACCAAACTAGGCTTGCCAGCTCATGGGCCTCACAGGACGGACTCGCTGCACCAGTTGTTCATCTTGCCCGAGAACTTGACTTCTTGAAGCGTACCAGGACATGAAGAAATTTGAGCATGCTTGAGGCACCTGAAGCCCATCCAGCGCCTGTAAAGCAAACGCTGTCAACGCCTCAGCTGCAACTGAATGATCCCTCCCGGAATCATTGCATGATATGACTACGCTTTGCCCGTCATGTCATGAGGTCCTCTGCTGTCGTCATGCCAAGGCGCTGATGCTTCATGCTGCACCCTCGAAGCCTCTGACGCTGTCCGCGGCCTCCCATCGCACTTCCATTTTCATAGCGCTTCCATGGTATTCATCTAAAGTCTGACGAATGTGACCGCGACCAGCCTCGCAGATTCTGGCGCTTTGGCCAATACCCAAGCTCTTTGGCTCAAGTCCTCCAGCAGAATGCCCAGGCCATGCAACCTGTCCTGGCCTGGCAGGCCTTGTACGGTGTGGCGATAGCTTAAAAAGAGGTGCAAGACAGCTGCAGTAAACCTCTGCAGTCCTCCTCTACCGGTGTTGCTGCACCCAGCAGTGCAAGCGTCACCCTAAGCTAAATCAAGCAAGTGCGAATGAAGCCACAGGCAAGGACAACATCTACATGAACCTGGTCTAAGCCTAGTGAAGTGCGCATGGGTATCATCTGATCACGTGCCCGGGCGCTGCCATTGCCGCGCCCGTTCGGCGGCCGCTGCTCCGTCTCCCAGGTCCAAAGCTCGGGCCCAGGCACTGATCGCGGTGCCTTGTTGCAGAGCGCTTGTTGCTGTCCATATCGGAAATGGCTGGGAATTTTCAGAATGACCCACGCAATCATAGAACAGCGATGAGAGAAGTGATTTGCTAACGAGAGAGAGGCAGCGTCAGCACCTTCAGTGTTGCTTGCAGTAAATCGATTGCCACAATACTGTTCTACAGCGGCTCCAGGTTCCTTCCCGGTCCAAGTCTTCCCCCGCAAATGCTCGGAATAAAACTTGAGAACATGCTGTAGGAACCCGCGTCCCTCTTGAGCGACTCTTTCTTCTCTGCTTCGCAAGGAACCAGGACGAGTATAAAGGGTCAGTTATTGCAGGATGTGGATGATGTGGGTAGATCAAAATCTGGCCCGAGGCCCTTTTTTGGTTGCCTGCTCGCGATGCCTTCCTTGAAGGGATCCTCTATCCAAAGCCCGTGTGGTGCCATGAAGGTGACCGAGAAGAGTGCATGACTTGGCAAGGACGTTTGCGGAAAATGCAGGATCTAGCCTAGCCAACATAGACGAAGGAGAACTAGACACGTCCTGTCCTGAAATCAAGCACTGAAGAGGCGCAGAACCAGAAGTGGATACTTAAACTACATATTTTACGTTGCCAGGAAAGGTCGTACCATGCCGTACAGTAGAATCCCAAAACACTAAGGCCCACAACAAGTACAGTATACCCTAAGTATGCAGCCCCGCCCTCATTTGCAAATCATGCAAAATGAATGATGCTTAACCATGCCAAAAATGATGAATAATGAGCATGTTCAGTAAACATTTGAAATATGACGACACATGATGAAAGTCATGAGAGATGACGGAATGTTGGAAAATCATGAAATAATAGCAGGTGATGGAAGAAATAAGAAGGATAAGGATATACATGGGGTTGTCCAATATTCCTTCTCCCAAACGCCGCAGCATTATCTTAAGATGTGCAAGAAACCTTCTCCAAATCCCATTTAGAAGTCCTGCATTTGATGGATTTGTTGAATGCTCGGAAGTTCTGTTGGGGTCCTCTATGGTCGGGGGCCTAAATAATTACGTACTTAGTAAATGGCCCTAAACCCACTCCGCAACTTTACAACCCAGTGATTTTCTCGCCTGCGTGCGCTGGCCAAACTGGTTCCTGGTTTGCAGGGCACTTCTCATTCTTTGAAACAGGAAACCGGGCTTTCATGAAAGTCCCAGTGGCCAACTACCTTCCCAGGCCATGTGTGCCTTTCGCGAAAATGCGTTCTGCTTGATGGACATTGATGGACAGTGATACTGATGATGAGAAGCATAGTACTAGTGGCACTATGTACGGAGAGTTGCTGGACTGGCCACATTGGAGGAAGTGTCCGCGCGTGTTTTCTTAGAAAAGCTTGGCCGTGAAAGCCAAAACAATCCTGTCGAGAAGAAGCCGTACGCGTGCGCAACGGTCCACCTACGCCACGCTACAAGAGAGTTGTTGGGACTGATTGTTGAACCTTTCGCGAACCTTTCACCACCCTTTCGCCCGCAGTGTTATTGCATCATGCGTCCCCGTGCTTATATATCTTCTTAAACATGGGTTTTGGGACGATCCCCACATGACGACAACGAGGAAAATGACCAAACGCAATGACACAACGTGATGGAAAATCTTGAATAATGGGAAATTCTGATCAAGCATGATGAGCATGACGAAATCCGTCTGAATTCGTTATAGCAGTAATAACTGCAATAAGAGTGAGCTTAATGTAGTAATAGTTATAAAAACTGAAAGTTTATACTACAAGAAATAAGAAAATGGTGCGAATAGCCTTGTTGTATTTCTTTCTTTCAGGTCCTTCTTTCTGTCGTTTTTCTTTTCTTACATTCTTTGTCTCTTTCTTTCTTTCAACCCTTTGTTCTTTCTTTCTTTTCTGGCTTTCTTGGTTTCTTTCTGTCTTTGTTCTGCACTCCCCTACTCCACGCCAGCTCTTCCGTCCTTCCTTCATGGCCCTCATCTACGGAAACAAGGCCCCTCGCCCCGAAAAAAAGCAATCAGGGATCCCACACAAAAAGCATAAGGTTTCTCCATAAAACAGCCCTCACTCCTGATTTTCAAATACTCCTCATTATGGTATTTTAACATATCATAACACAATCAGTGGGAATTTCAATTTGTCAGGAGCGGTGTTTGCCAAAAAGCACCGAGCCCGTGCAATGGAGGGAAAGGTGCATGCAGTCACGGCAATGCGGCGGGCAACTCGATCTGGCCTGGAACTTTTAGTTGCAGGTTCAGGTTTAGGGTTTGGAGGGTTTTATAACACAACTGCAGCGACATTAGAGGACTTAGGGGGCTTATAATGAATTATAAGTACAGTTATAATTGTGAGAAAGTTGCCCTGCACCTCCGAGTAGGGTGTAAACACAGCTTCAAGCAAACGGATTCTCAAGATTGGGGCATGCGCATGGCGCCGCTATCTCTCCCAATTTCATTTACCATATTTACTGCAAAGAGTACCACAATGGTGGCAAAGAGCGTTTAAAACAAGGGCTTCTTCTTTTGCAGCAGAGCTTTCATTTCGGGCAGCTTCAAACGCACAGGCCATTTCCAATAGCTGCAATTAAGAGTCTTCAGCATCATGCTAGTGACAATAATTACAGACAGAACTGTAGTGTAATGTTGACACTACTACATAATTCCCGTATGAGCTATAGTCTAAACTCCTGGATTCCCCCATAATAAGCCCTATAGTAGTCCCCTATATAATCCCCTATGTAACCCCCTTTCAGGAGTTTAGACAGTAGCTCATATCAGTATATAACCTCTATATAAGCCCAGTTTCCATTTCATTGTCCATTTGTCTCCATTGTTGGGGTGTACTATCCCTCGCTGACCCAGGCTCGTACCATGTCATGATGCTGGGGCCTCAATCCCAGGCCCTGGAGCTGCACGAACGCCCAGGCCCAGGAGCCCGCCTGGAGGATTCAAAAAAGGTTGGGATAATGGAAAATAAAATTGAAACTACTACAGTATATTGGCTGGGGATGCGAGCGAAGAACAGGGATTCTGCAGGGAAGATGTATCCTTCTTGCGAAGCTGTGAGCAGAATGTTGCGTGGCTGTTTTTACAGGATGGTTTGCTTGTTGTTTTTTGCCAACGAAACAAACGGAAGCGAAGAAATAAACCAACCGCATGCGGGTCGCGCGGCTGCAGGCCGTGGCAGCAGCGTTTCGAGTTTCCACGGCCGGTTTGACGGACACCTGAAGTGGCTGACCGCCCTGGTGCCATGATGCTACGCCCTGGTTCCAGGATGCCATGATGCTCTACCACTGCAACACATTGAGAAGAAGCAGCTCAACGCAATGATGCTGAAGCCAAGGCACCATCTGCGCAGCGTGCCTGAACTCAGACAGTCAGAAGAATCGAAAAGCCTTTCTAGCCGGTGGATTTGGGATGTCACA